CCTTGCAGGTTGAGGGAAGGAGCCAACAGAGAGATCCTGGGCATCATTGTTTCCTACAAAGTGAAAGTGAAGCTGGTGGTGTCCCGGGGCGGGTGAGTGCTCCTTCCCGCCAGGACCCCTGGTGCAGAGGGGAGTGCCCCTGACCCCCTGCAGCTGCTGCCCGTCCTGCCTGTTCGCTGGACTTTGTAGCTGCATCCCCTGTGAGGGTGAACCACGCTCCAGGGCTTCCTGCTCCCTCTCTTCTTCCTTCCTGCTCCCCTTCTCTCTCCCCTGCCCCCTGACTCTTTTTTTCCCCAAATAGCTCAACTTCTGATTTTATTTAGCATTTCTTTGAACTTTAAAAAAATTTTTTTAAATTTTTTTATTGATTAAGTTATTACCTATGTGTCCTTATCCCCACATTACCCCCTACCCCCCACTCATGCCCTCACCCCCCTGTTGTCTGTGTCCACCCCTGACTCTCTCTTGCTTCAGAGGCCTTCAGCCCCTTCCTTGCCCCTCCCATCTATCCCTCCTTCTCCTCCCCCCTCCTCTCCTATCCCCCCCCCAACCCCATGCTCATGGGCAGGGGGAGGCTTCCCAGAGTCTAGGCTGTGGGTATCCAGGGGGTTCTATGCCTCTCATCCTACCTGAGGGCACAGCACCCACCCCCACTCATGCCCATGCTGATCTGCTGGGGGAATGGCTAAAGGGGCCGAGACTCCCACAGCTGGATTGGGGGTGTTCTGACGTCCCATTTTACAGATGGAGAAACGGAAGCCCAAACAGTTCCCCAAACATGTCCTGCCGTCTCCCCGCCTAAGCTCTGGTCATGGGGGTGGACGGGGAGGGGTCATGGCCGTGGGCCAGACTACTCCCCGCCCTGGAGCACAGTCTGGGCAGGGGGCGCTCAGAAGGAACGACCTCCCCCACATGTTGGACCTGCGTGTGGTTATAAACCTAGGTTTCTGACTTGGATTTAGAGAGCTGCCACAGGGATATTTTTCTAATTCATGCATTTCTACAAAAAGGATGGAAAGCGAATAACATTAGATGTCCGACCCCTTGATTATGAGAATAATGCCTCATGCAGGTGGCAGCATGTAACACTGACAGCAAATTACAGACCCTCTCAGAATCGCAAACCCAGGTCCCGCGTCCTGTGACTCTTGCAGGACCCGGGCTGCCTCGAGCTGTTTCCCGGAGAAATCCTGGGTGAACCCCAAATGCTTCCTTCACTGGAGAGGCCTCCCAGGAGAGGCAACTCTGTGGTTAATTTTCATGTCTCCGCTGCAGACATGGATCCTGGGGCTCAGCTAGGCCTTGTAGGGGGTGTGGCTGAGCCTGACCGCATCTCAGCCCCGGGGGCAGGGCGAGTGCCGTCCGTGTGTCCCCGAAAGAGCAGCCACAGCCACGCAGGGGTGGGTGGGAGTGTGTCCCAGGGTCTTCTCTACGGACGGGCAGCAGAGGTGGTGAATGAACATGCTTTCTGTTTTCTTCCTCTGAACTCTCTCCTGACCACTCCTCCCGCCTCCTCTGACCCACCCAGCCTGTTGGGAGACCTTGCGTCCAGGTAAAGCCCCTCCCTTGGACCTGACTGACCCACCTTTCAGAACGGCAGGGCATGCGGTCGGAAGGAATCTTCCAGCCGCCAGGCCCAGGCCTGCATTGGGACTGGAGCCCTCTCCCGGGAGTCCAGGGGGTGCGGTCCTTCCTTTGAAAACCTCACGCTGCCCTTGCATTACGCCCAAGTGACCAGGACCTTTGCAGACGGCAAGGCCGGCTTTACCGATGTAGGGAGTAGCCCCCAATTAGTCTGAATTATAGGATGCTTTGAGGAAACGCCAGCGTCATGGCTTTCAAACTTCTGCACTCATGAGAAAGAACTGCTGGCCGAGTGTGGCTAAGGAGAGGCCCTGTGGAGACCTGCTTCTGTGGACAAGACTCCCTGGTCACCAGCTGGGTCCACTTACCTTCCAGAAACTCACACGTCCCGGACGCAGTGGTTTTGCCTCCTTCTGCCACAAGATGGCAGTATTACTCTCCCCAAGAAATCAGTCCATTTTTTGCAGAAGTGAAGTTCAATTCAGTTCAGTTCAATTCAATGCATTTCAGGCAAGATTTCCGAACCCAGCCTTGTGCCCCGCCTCATGCTGGGTGCTGAGGTTCCAGAAAGGGGTCGTCACACCCCCTGCCCTCGATCACTCAGGGTCAGGTGGGAGGTTAAGGTCCGGAATCTTCCGTCTGTGTCCTGTACGGCTTTAGTGAAGGCTGCCGACTCGGTCTTCCACCAGCTTCCATTCCGAGATCTCCCAAGTGCACCTGGAAAAGCAATCTCCTTTGGAAGCAAAAAGAGAGAAAGAGAGAAAAAAAAGCCAAATTATTTATTTATTTTAAAAAATATATTTTTATTGATTTCAGAGAGGGAAAGGGAGAGAGAGATAGAAACATCAATGATGAGAGAGAATCATTGATTGGCTGCCTCCTGCACGCCCACACTGGGGATTGAACCTGCAGCCCAGGCATGTGCCCTGACTGGGGATCAACCGTGACCTTCCAGTTCATAGGTTGACGTTCAACCACTGAGCCATGCCAGCCGGGCATGAGAGCCACATTGTGTCAACGGCCTTATGAAACCTCCATGTTCTTACCGAGGGGAAGTCATGATTTGGACAGGCGCACACTTCACTGTGTAACCGAGCCTTTTACCTGCACCATCCCGTGGGAGTTCTAGTGGTTCTGGAACGTAGGTGTTGCTGTCCCATTTTCCAGATGAGCTCAGTGAGACTTAAAGGTGTAAAGTGCTGCCAACTGAGTGGTGGGGCTGGCGGAACAGACCTTTCTGGCCGTCTGTCCCCTCTGTCTCCCTGTCCCTTCTCCCTCCGAGCAGGGCCCTGGGCAGCAAGGTCAGTGAGATGAGGATGTGCCTGGCAGCACTCACAGTTGGCAGGGCCTCCTAGGTGACCGCCCCCCCCCCCCCCGCCCCTCAAGCTGAGAGGAGGAGCCTCAGCGGGTGAGGGCCACCTGAGCACTTTTAGTGGAGCCTCCTGGAGATGTTGAGAGATGGGACGGAGTGAGGGTCAGGGGAGTTCCAACCAGGAAGGTGGGAAGGGCGGGGTCAAGATGGCTGTGGTAACTTGAGGTTGGCAGGACCCCTTGCCACCTCTGGAACCACCAGTGACCAAGATGCACACACCGTCCTCAGCCATCCTCTTCCCACACCTGTGTCCCCGCCCAGCTCGTGGGCATCCAGGGACCCTTCTCAGGGAAGGGGAGGTTTCCATTGCTTTTGGAGCCAGGAGAAGAGGCCTCCCAGTTCAACTTCCAGAGAGACTGAGGCTCAGAGAACCAGGGTCTGAGGCCAGATTTCCTACCTCTCAGCCCAGAGCTACCTCTTCTGACCATAAAACCCTCCCCCGTCCTCAAACTGACAGGGCGTTGAGTCTCACAACCAAAGACTGGGCTCTGGGCTCACCAGGTCTGGGTCTCTGTTTCAGTGACGTGTCCGTGGAACTGCCCTTCACCCTAATGCACCCCAAGCCCAAAGAGGAGCCCCCACATCGGGAAGGTGAGCAGGAACTGTGGGTCACCGGGGTGGGGGTTCCCAGATAGCCGACCCCTTTCTCCATCAGCTGCCATGTTTTCCCATCACCCCACTTTCCTCTGGGTCAGCCTTTAGCCCAGGGTCACCCCTCTTCCCCAGCTCCCCAGGATCTTTTGTGAGGCCCACACTCCTATTTACATTAAACTCCCCAGGAGACAGAGAGGTCTGGCTCTGTTCTCTATGGGCGGGG